GTGTACGATCAACCATCCCCTAATTCCAAGGTATCGGTGGTCATTTATAAAGGATTCTCGTTTTTACACGAGAAGCGTGTTTATAATTACAAAAAATTTAAAACCCCTTAATCCTATTAATGTATAAATATGCACACCTTGATTCATGGAGCCGCCACGCGTATCTAGTTAACGTATACACCTGGCGATTATCGCGACGATTGTCGACAACTCGTTTCGAAGATATTTGACATTTAGATTCACTGCAATTTCATAGCAATTATTCTCAAAATAAATGAAATGAATTTCACGATTTCATACATATTAACACTCATTCATAAGAATAACTTCTTTTACGTTACTCCACCGAATTCTTTTTCGCTTTTTATTACATAGTAACGTAAAATATAAGCGTTTTCTCGTTTGTCTTAAAATCATCTGAAGGAAATTCTTTGTTTTTAAGATATATCATTTATATTCCAAGCAGTACTTTTGTTTTTTTCTAGGTGCCGTCAAAATCAGCTTTACTTAAATTTCTTCTTTCTATCATAAAACTGATATTGCATAAAACTTCCAACTAAGTACAACGTTGTCTGTTTTTTTTTCGAGGAAAATCGAGTTAGTGCTGAAGTTGTCAAACGGCCTTTTAAAAGTGTACAATGTGGGAGAGTGAGAACAGGTATGAAACACCTTGACAATTTCTAAAATATAAACACATAAAAAACAGACTGCGATATTCTACGATTAAACTGATTAAAACAGAGARTCGCACTCGTTTTTAGGTTCTAGGTATACTATATAAGCTTGGCAGCAAAGTTCTCAGTCGATGATTTTATTTTTATTTTTACTCGGGCTGCTTGTAGAGGCATGAAAATGTTTTATGCAGAGATTTAAACATTTTCTATGTCATCGGACCACGTCTGCGGAAGTTGAACAGAATGTTTGCATCAGCGTCACGTAGTTAACCAGAAGTCTCTTATAGTTGCCGCACATTAGTAGTTTGCTTCGATGTCATGTGACTATATCATGTGACTGTGTAAAAATTGAATGCAATTTCTCCTGATTTGACTTTTTATTAATCAAAACAGGGCGATAAAACTCTATCTGCTATTATCAGTATCCCATGTCAATCCTGGTATGTTACATTACACACCACGTTAAACGAGGGGAAATTGAAGGAACCTCCTTTTTCCTTTGATTGYGTGTTAATAAAAACTAGGCACGTCAACTCCAAACAATATTGCTGAAATATCCTGTCAATCACAGTATGTAGTATCATATATCATGAAACTTTGAAAAAATGCTGCAATTCCTTCAAATGAATGTCAAAACAAAATTGGAAACAAATTCTTTACAATTCTGCTGTCACGCTCTTTTTATCACGGAAGGAGATTTTAAATATGGCACCCTGATGGCACCACATCAAATTCATTGCATACAAAAGCTTGTATCAAGTTCAGGTGATCACGGACCCCATTATGCCCGACTATAAATCGCACCCGATTTGCACCAATTTCCTCATTTATTAAGAAACGGTTTTTAAATGTCGATTATTACCGTAATATCACAGAATTAGTGTCTCTTGTGTCTCTCTCTTTGTGTCTCTGTCCTCTGATATAAACACGGTGGGAGTTGAAAAAGACTCGAGAAGCAAGACAAACACTCGCTACGCTCGTGTTCCTAAGCTTGCTTCTCTCATGTTTTTCGAACTGCCACCGTGTTTATATCAGAGTACAGAGACACGCGTACCGTTTTATATTTCTTAAAGAATACTAATAAGGAGTGTTTTATCCCGTTTTATCAGACATAAAAGTCCATGCATGTGACCAAATAGACTCATTCTATCGGCTTAATAGCAYATTAAAGTGCATATAAAGGATTTTTTTATCACGGTTTCCTAAAGTTAGTTTACCAATCATTAAATATGGTTCGAGGAAAAGAAATTCAAAAATCGAAATAGCGGTGTGCTTTTGAGGCGACTCATGATGTTCACGAGAAAATGGGCTCCTGTGCTTTTTGTATCGGGAGACTCCTAGAGAGACTGGAGACAATAAACGTGTGACGTAGCTTCAGTCAGATCAGTCTCGAAATTTGCAGAGAAATACTAGCGAAATTCCGTCAATCAGTTTGGAATCTGGMATTAAAAATAACGACATTCGGGATTTAATATTCGAATGAATTATGTCACAAAGTTCTCATTAGCAACGATGGGCGCCAAAAAAACATCTGACGGATGCTACGTCACGCTTATGGTAACCAGTCTCCTTCAAAGTTCGTATATCTAATGAAGCCTTCTTTGACGTCATTTCCATTAACATATTGTAAGATTGAACCTTAAAAAATCATACATAATTAATGAGTTATTAGGCCAATAGAATGAGCCTGTTTGGTCACATGCATGGACCTTTATATCTGATAAAACACTCCATATTAGTATTCTTTATAAAGAATAAAGAATTAGTATTCTTTATATAAAGAATACTAATACATGCATCAAGAGTTTCGGAGAACAATGCATCCGCCATCTTGAAAAGTGAGACTCAAATCACTAAATTATAACTCCTAAAGAAATTAAAAGGTTCTAAGTTAATGTAAATCTAATATAATATACGTTATGATGATAGATTAGTTGACTAAGCAGCTATGAAATTTGTTCTAAGGCAAAACAGTGATTCAGGGCTCACTTTTCAAGATGGCGGACACATTGTTCTCTGAAACTCCAGATGCGTGTATAAGGGTGACCTTTATCAGATATAAAGGTCCATGACCCTAGCAAAGGTCTCAGGTTTGAAACCTGATMATTGACCAATGCAGGATGTCAACCGATTTAATTGAACAGCCAAGAGTCGTTCTATTTTACTTTATGCGTATTCAATGTGGGATGACAAGAGTGCTTTGTAAAGTGATTCGCGTATGATCAGTTTGCCCTATTTATCTCAGAACATATTTGCACGTCAATTTCTCCAAGAATTTAACGGATTTGAGYTTCAATTTAGTGTTGGAGTTTTTGAAGCCGTTTAAAACACTCGAGATCGTGTTTATCAGGTATAAAGATTCTCGACTTCGGCTGGAATCTTTATACCTGATGAATCACTCTCTCTCGTGTTTTAAACTATACATTAGCTGCGTTTACGACATCACGACTGGCTACTGGTCTCGATACCATTGATTTCCTTTCCATGCGCTGCAATTACAAGAGTTGAGACCTTGCGTCATTAGTCAAGTAAGAACACGATATAATCCTTACCGACACAAAGCTCTGCGAACTATGCGTCCGTGTTCTGAGACTTCTGAGTCATGTCGTTAATTAATGCGAATTATTACGCGAAAACATAACACRAAATAATCCTATTCCGATTTCTCGAAATTAAGCTCCCGCTATGTACCATTCCTTCTTTGCTTTGTCAATCACAATYAACATTGAACATGGGGGTTTCATTTCGAAATTAATACTCTACATAATCACATGTTTAAAAGTGTGAAATAGACAAATTGTCAATAAGAACTGACAAATGAAACACTACTCCACCTTAAAATATAATGGAAAAGATGATGTGCTTTATTGGGCGGTATCTTCCATTACATATGTGGTTAAGGCTAACAACATTTCCAATTTTGCTTTGACTGCCCAGCATTTTTATCCCTGAAAACCGACTATCGGCGTTTGTATGACAGAGAAGATTTATATTACTGTGGTGGCTCTTGTACTGTTTTACAATTTTATGCTTTATTAGTAATAAAATGTTTATTATTTTCATATACGATATATGGTAATTAGAAAGTATAGGAGACAATTCTTAAATGTGGCTAACTTAATGTCATAAGTTTTCGTGCGAGGCATTTAATATATTCATTGTTCGACTGTGATTGTTGCCCATATACCAGTGATGATGGCATCAGTATGATATCAATGTTTTAGTATTAATTGCTTTCTTATATTTTGCTTTACAGAATCAATTATTATTAAGAATGTARTTAACTTTTCGGCTTTCCAGAAGTGCTAATATTTACGGAAGTTCACGGATTTTGGCTGTATCTTTTTAATGTCTTTTTCAAATGTAACAAACACAGAATGAGCTTAGAGAAAACATGTTGTGCAGCAAAAGACAAATCTTCCTAAATGTTGTCTTGCTAAACGGTTTTGCAACGCGAATGGGTGCAGTTTTAGAGGTGCGTTTACTTACTTTAATCAGCCAGTTTCGATCCACACCACGCCACAAATAAACAAAGCTTACTAGTAGATCAATTGACCACTATCTTATATCAATGTGGTTTTCTGTTTCTGAATCACCAATCTTTATGGAAATCAGGTAGGAATTTTGGCGATCAAGGAAGGAAATGYCATTTGCACATCATAATTCATTAAAACCCGTCTAATGCATTCTTGTTCTGATGTAGACAACAATAAAATACAATATTGTTTGATATCCACAAGTATTCGCACTTTTTCAGTCAATGGAGATCGTTAAAACGGATAACCATTGATCAGTCCATTCATTTTCAATCAATAATTTACCCTACAATGAGTTCATACAATAAAAAGTGATATTTATGACAAAATACATAAATAAAAAATAATAATTCTGACTTGTATTCCAAAACAGATCAAAAGGCATTTAACACAAGCTAACACATACGATGGCTTAATTTATTTTAAGCTAGGTTTTATGCAAGAGTTTTAGCTTTAAAGCACTTTCACATACTTCAAACTAGACATTCAAAGGAAATCACGTGTGAGTGTGCGTCAAGCATTTCTGTAATACCCAAGTTATCAATATACGCCACTTTGATTTGTTTGTTAGACACTCAGTAATAAATAGAAAAGCACGAAACACTTGCTATCCACATTTGTAAGATGATTTATATGATTGTCTCCCAGTGATTTACACAAAACAGAACAGTTTGAAAATATGCAGCTCTTTTAAAAAAACAATCTTATTCTTGAAAAGAATGCGTTCAAAAATTAAGGCAAAAAAAAGCAATCTATAATAGTACCAGAAGTCAGATTAAAAAAAACATACCTAGCAGAAGGATGACACAAGTATCTTGAAGCGCTTGCAGTGTACAGAAATGGGGTGGAGTTACGAGCCAGTTCTTTAGAAAGCAGCTGCTTTTGATCAATAAAAACCGTGAGAGAACTTCCTTTGTCAACAAATTAAATTCACGAAAAAATCAACAATGCCAACTAAGTGCTGGCAGTCGGTAGCAGTAAAATGAAGTGGAACTAGGAAACGTGGATGCTTCCTGTGTACTATYAGYGCTCAAGAATTTCAATTCAACACTATAGTGAATTGATAACGCCTTATTTTGAAACATCATAATGATGATATCATTCTAGACAAACTATTTGCATTCCTATCCCCTCATATATCTATTCACAATGCGATGAATTGACAAAAAGGCAATTTTAGTTCATATTTATGACAAATTGAAAAGGAAAACACCACTCAATAATAATTACGATCAATATCTCTAGTCGCGGTCGAAAAGAACATTAGTTGGGTGGAAATGAATTTTGTATAGAACATGGACTTCTCTAAACGGAAAGAGGTTCTCAAATCCTCTCATTCGTTTTTTGTACTGTGCTSCTATACTTTTGAATAAAACTGACTAATTTCTGTCTCATCATGAAGATGTTTCGATGTAAATGAATTTGTTTTAATTGGAATGTGAACAAATTCTTGTTGMWTTGCGACCGAAGAATGTACTTCAAAATTCACGTCAGTTGCACCCAGATATCGTACGCTATCAGGAATGATCAAATTTTCCTTTCTGCAAATTTACTTATCTCTCGCACAATTCGTTCAATTTTTTAAATCGACGATCCTCTCAGTGAACTCTGAGATGAGATCTGAGTTGGATGCGGCGTCTTCTTCCTTTTAACAATTTCTATCTCTTAATTTAGCGAATGGCAAAGGCGGATAAAAGTAGCTAAGGTGAAAACCACTAAAACAGAAATTCTCATCTACTGCTTTATGTTGTACCATATAATCTACGGTATCTGAGTTTTTAATATATTCTATGTGATGATTCAACACTTGGAATGACTTATCCTTTTGATGTCGAAACCATCGACAAAAGGTGTGTTCAAACGTCGCCAGTTTTTCACTAAGTCACAGTCACTGTAATTTGAAATTAAACAAATCTATTAAAATACTACAAGAAAAACGTTCACCTTACATCAGTCGACTCAATACCGACGGATAATTAAATTTCGACATTGATTCGCATTGTATTGGATTGGCACATGAACCTGATTGAATTTGATTTGTGCTCATCTTTTTTGATTCGACTGTGATTCATAGAATTTGATTAAATTATTCACTGAATTTGATATTGAAATTGCCGCCATATGACTAGACCGCAGAGTTGCTTGGGTAATGCCACCTGCCGCTACGGCGTATTTCATATTTATAAAGATCTATGAAAT